AAAGAGGATCCCTGGGTTGATCAACAGATGGATTGTGCTTTTCAGCATCCTTTGAGTTTTTCTGATCATCACTTGTGGTCAGAGCATCACACAGGCCATTGGAAAAAACAGGTCTAACCCTTCATCAGGGACTCGAAATTTGATTTCACGCTGAAGTGAGCACTGATTTGCTCTACTTATGTTCAGTCTTGATGTGGGATTAAGATCCAGAGCTAGATGGGATGTGCCAGTGAATGTCCCAGGGGGGCTGAAGTCTCTGTCCCCGAGGGGACAGTGCTACCACCTGAGCAATGAGCTGGGGTTGGGAGAATAGTCCAGGCTTGGGCAGGCTTGACATGGCAGGTGAGGCCTCAGAATTACCATCACAAGCAACAATCAGTTGGCTTGGAAAAAAAATAGACTTTTTAGGATCCAAAAATATGAAAAAATGATTTGGGGTTTGGTTCAATCAATGCATAAATTGTAAACTCTTTCCAGAATGGTTCAACAGAGGAAAGTGAATACCAAATCCTGTAGGTTAAGGCTGAAGACCACTAGATGGTCCATAGAAACTCCTGACTCTGAGCCAGGAGAATAGAGAAATTTCTCTGGGTGCACAAAGAGCTCATAATTTGCACTAAAATCTTCCTCCGTGCTAAGAGGTGATGCTCTTGTTAGCACAATATTGATGTTTATAAAGCATCTTGCCATGAAATGTTGTTGGCTTTTCTTTTCAGCATGTTCTAAAATCATCATGGAAAGGAAAACAGAGCACCCCTAATCCCTATCTCCTGATACTGCACCAGATTAATGTGGCAGAGCCATAAAACTCTGGATCTTCATTTATCACACCTCTTCAGCTCTCCTCCATGCTCAGGGAGGTGTGAAAAAAAAGGATTAGGTTTTTCTTCCTGAGGAGCAACTAAGTTATCCAGAAATCATTGATACTTCAACTCTGTCAGTTTTTACTCAAGTCTTGCGTGTGCTCTTCAGTTCTTCTGTGTTCTACAGTCTGAAAGATCATAGACTCGTAGAAAATCCTGAGTTGGAAGGGATTCACAGGAATCATTGAGTGCAACTCCTGGCCCTGCACAGGACATCTCCAAGAATCCCCAAGTGCCTGAGAGTATGAGATGTCTAAAAAGGGGGTCTGATCCTGGCATGAAATGTCTAGAGGGACATTTTGGGTTTGCTAAGTCCTCAAACCACCACTCAGTCTGCTGGTGGTTTTGCCTGACTGAAAATCAGAATCATAGATTCCTGGAATGGTTTGGGTTGGAAGGGACCTTAAAGACCATCCATTTCCACCCCCTGCTATGGGGAGGGCCACCTTCCACTAGCCCAGGTTGCTCTAAGCCCCATCCAACGTGGCCTTGAACACTTCCAGGGATGGGGCAGCCACAGCTTCTCTGGGTAACCTATGCCAGTGCCTCACCACCCTCACAGGGAAGAACTTCTTCATAACATACAATCTAAATCTAAGTTCCCAATCCTGTGTCCATGGGTCATCCTC